GAGAAGCAACACCACCTAGACAAACATGTCTGTAGACGCCTGGCCAAACAATATCCGGCGTGACCAACAACTCAAAACCTATTTCCCGCGACAACAAGTCCGAAAAGTATCTATTGATGCATGTTAGAGGCAGCAGCAGGTATCCTATTATGGTAGAATCCTACCGATATCCTGCTAATACCCATCCTATTATCCAGGGTGTACACACAGCAGTGTAGGCACCGCCCAAGAACAACAGGGACACCAACAAGTGACCCGTCATCATTAGTCGTGAGCCATCATCTTAGCAGGGCTTTGTCATACCCCGCCTATCGCTCCCTCAACAAACATCATGACCGTACCGGTGAGTTCGCCCTGCCTCTGCCCCCGTTGATGACGTCTGGAAGGATGAAACGCGCGCGTGCCCGGGCTCCGTCCAAGCCCCCGCTCGCAGAGAGAAAACGAAGAACGCAACTTCTTGGCCTCCCAATCTGGCCAATCCTTGCTATCCCTCTCTGAGTTCACGTACTGCTGTTGTATAAATCTGCTATTCCACGNTTCCTTTGCTCGGCTATATCACGCTCTGGGCTATCACGCCCATGTCCATACTACATATGCACCAGCTATCACGCGGCCAGGCTGTCACGCCTCTAGGCTATCACGCCATCACAACAGCTATCACAACACCAGCGTCAACACATCAGAGCCATCACGCTCCGGAACATCACAGATGCGGCGGGTTACCACACACGCGGGCAATTTACTGTATTTTATCGTTGCCGGCAAACTCGCCGCGCGGTTCATTTATTTTTGCCGTCTACAACTGCACCGGGCGCACCAAGCTCTCCAACACAGGTACTACAAGTACAGTACGTGGGTCTCTTGAGGGTACTACGCAAAACGGCAACAACGTCGAACCCGCAGTAGGTACTGGAAAGACTGACTGGCGGGTGGGGACAACAGGTAGACGCGGACATCCGTATCACACACGACGTGTCAACATCGTAGTCTTGGGCAAACACACGATCTTCGTTTTTGGAAAAAACCGCCACGAAAAAAACTTGCCCATCTCAGTTTCCGCGCACTCATTTGGCGGTGGAGGCCACACCGCGTGTATCGGGGAACCGCCCTTCGACACTACCTCGACACCCGAACAACTTTGATCTCCAAACCGGGAAGCCTCGCTCTGATGCGTTGGGCATCATCACACACTGCTGCTTCCCACGGCGCTCGGCCGACCCGGAAAAACAGAGAGCTAGCCACCAAAAAAGCAAAACAGCCAGCCTTAATCATCGCCTCGAACTTTGGGTGCAACGCGGCCAGGGAAACACAAAGCGGCTTCGGGTCGCTCTTCGCCGATGTGGGCTGTCTCACCCACTCTCTTTCCTGTTTGCTCTGTCTAGGGCCAGAGAGAGCCCTGCCAGTGCGTGTGTGTCGCTTTGTCCCACCGGCGGGGATTCCATGCGCCCGTGTACAGCAGTAGACACTACCATACGCCCACATCAAAAGTTGAGGCTCTTCCGGAAACACAGGACTTTTTGAGTGCTTTGCATCTTCGTTCGCCGTGCTTTGCCTTCACAACGTTAAGATGGCGACCGCGATGCCCCTTACCTCCTGTTTTCTACCGGTACCCGCTGCAGAAGTAGTAATCCGTGTAACGGGTCCGAAACCCTCCGTCCTTCTTAGCTTCTGTGGCGCATGTGCCTCCAGTCCGCCAGTGCAGGAAAATGACAAGCCGGGGCGGGCGGCCGCTCCGACTTCTGAATGGAAGCGGGAGGAAAAGACAGAAGGTCTGTTGTTCGCGAGATGATGTACACTGAAGTATGTTCTAAAGATCCGCCGATTCATTTCAATGTGCGTCTTGCATTTTACAAGTAAATACAGTACGTTGAGGGAGGTTTCGTTTCGTGTTCGTTTCTCGGTGCGCCCTTCTCCGTCTGCTCCGTACGCCTGATCTACAAGGAAGAAGGGGGTTCTCCCACAAGAACTGATTCGTGGCGCGTGTGGATCAAAGACGACAGCATGCAGTCAGCGTCTGTCGAGACGGTCCCAAGTCCGTCAATAGTTACCGCTGCAAGCAGCAGCACGAATCGCCAGAGGTGTGCGAATGATGACAATCATCACCCCCCCCAGGTTCGTTCATTCTGCGCGGAGAGACGCCTCACGGCATATCCATCCACCATCTACATTTATTATTCCGAGCTCTCCTTCATTCCTATAGATACCCCCCCTTCTGTGCCTCCTCCCCCGGTCGGTGTTTGCCATCGAAGTTGGGTTTTCGTCGCCTGGCAACGACGTTGAGTTGTAAAACAAGGTCATTCACTTCGTGAGCTCGGTAACCAGAATATTTACCGCATTATTTNCAGAGGTGTGCGAATGATGACAATCATCACCCCCCCCAGGTTCGTTCATTCTGCGCGGAGAGACGCCTCACGGCATATCCATCCACCATCTACATTTATTATTCCGAGCTCTCCTTCATTCCTATAGATACCCCCCCTTCTGTGCCTCCTCCCCCGGTCGGTGTTTGCCATCGAAGTTGGGTTTTCGTCGCCTGGCAACGACGTTGAGTTGTAAAACAAGGTCATTCACTTCGTGAGCTCGGTAACCAGAATATTTACCGCATTATTTTGTTTCCTCTGCGTTTTTTTTTTTTGCGGTAACCACACGATGATGATGGTGGTCGACCGAGCAGACAATGATGTTTTTTGTTGTGCGGGGCCGAGAACCCTCGCTCCGCGCAAGGGGAATGATCGCACCACGTTGTGTGTTAAATTAATTGGTTATGCACCCTCGAGGTAGTAACACAGCAGTGATAATAAGCTGTCTTTGGAAGTGTAAGCACCAGAATATACATCCAGTCATACGCAGCTGTCATCGTACGCAAGGAAGCAAGCACAAGATGCCGAACACCCATACATAGCAGGATGCAACGCATTCTTCTGGCGACTCGCCGGATACCTCACGGTGTTTCACGCTTGGTGATGTGAGAGCCCGTCCGGTGAGAACCCGGCGTGCTCCGTCCCTGCTTTATAGGGACGCGAGGTCAATGGTCAAACAACTACGGCATGCACGACTATGAGTACACCCTTCATCCACCCCATAAGCACACAACAGCAGACAATACGGACACACCCACGCCAGCCACTGAGTGAGGTGAGATAAGATCCCTTTCGACAGCAGCATATCATTCACAGCCATGGGGTGTCACGCCGTGCTGGCCAGAAACGTCCTCTAAGGGAAGCACCGCTCCTGAGCTCCTCCTTGTATCACATTCACAATTCTAGGCGCGAAGATATGTCGTTTGTCAACAAACAAGCGGTCTTCTGTTTGCCGTCGACGACCAATATATATCGTCGACGGCGCGCCCTCGCATCCCACGAGACCCTGTCACGGGAACACGCTTGTGTGTTACGGTGTGGCCGATGGAAAGCGCCGGGGTGCAGATGCTCGCCATCAGGGTGCCCCTGGAAACTCGCCCGAATTTCCAGGCGTGTGCGTGAGGGGAAAGCGCCGCGTCGAACGAACCCATCCCCGCTGGTTTGAAATACGTAACAGTACGCCTACCCACCCACCCACCCCACTCCCAAAAAAAGACAATAAATGTACCAAGAAAGCGCGGCCATGAAAGAATGATGTGCTCGTTTCCCACACCCGCTCGAGCAGCACGCAGCAAACTATACTCCTGGGAAATGTTAACCACACCATGCGGAGAGCAGAAAGCACGCGATTTATCACGTACGTCCACCCACCTAAACGCGCGCGCACGACCAAAAAACGAAAGATCAACCACCACGGCACGCCGGTGGTACCTGCCCTGGCCAGCCTACATCGTCACCCACCGACGCACCCATCCAATGCACACCATGTTTCGATATACGATCAGACAAGCACAAACACCATATCATCACTCACGCCATAGCACCGCCGGCGATGGCACGAACGAACGAACGGACTTGCTTACCCCGCCACGTCGGCAAAGAACTCGACAACACTAGAAACCACTTCGTCCACGTCCACGTCAGAAGCTGCTTCTTTCACTTTGGCCACGATGCTGAGCAAGGATATCCCACGGCCCAGGCGTTGCATGGCCCAGCGGCCGCGCCCCACCCGCGGTTCAGGCTCGGGCGCAAGGAGAGCGTTAGGCACGGGCTGTGCAGGCCCGGTGTTCGCGGGGGCAGGAGGCCCTGGGGTTCCGACGTGGCTGGGGCGGGTGTTAGGTGCCGTAGATGCCGCTGCGGCGAGCATGGCGGGGCCGTGGCCGGGGGCGACGGCGGGGCGGGCGGGGCGGGCGGGGCGGCGGCTGCGGGCGGTGTGGCTGCGGCTGCGTCGGGCATGGCGGGGGCTGCGGGAGCTGCGGGGGGCATGGCGGCGGCGGATGCTGTGTTCGGGCACGGCGGGGGCTGCGGCCACGGCGCCTGTGGCCTGAATGTTGGGCGAGCCCGATGACCCGCTCCTCCTGCTCCTGCTCATCCTCTCCGCCCAGACCAAGAGGTTGAGCAAGACCCAGAGAGGGGATAGCCACACAACCCAGGCCACCTGAGCCCACGACACACCAGACAGGCGTTCAAACCACAAGGCGCACGAACGAGGATGGAGTGAACGAGGATGGGGGG